ATAATACAGTTGTCTAATTAATTAATTGCCTAACGGAAAATTAGCTAATCGACTTGACAATAGTTTTGTAATTGATTGTACAATAATTGTGTTGGGAATACTATGATTATGTTTAATTTTTATTTTCTAAGTAATCATTTAGGTGTATGAAATAATACAGTAATTTAATACGTAGGTATTTGTTTTATATTATTTGAACTCGATTTCTGAACCATTTAAGCTAAAAATTAATTACACTTATTTTTATTTTAGTTTCTAAAATGTGTAACCGTTTGATCTAAAAATAATGTATTTAGGTTAACACTTTTTGTTGTATTTTTGTAAACCTCTTGTATATCTGTTCCAAATTTATGAACTTAAAGTTGGTGGTATCTAAAATCGGTTGAATACAAGCAATTTAACATTTTTAATTTAAACATTCAGTATTTTTTAGTGTACCGAGTCCCTTATTATAAGTTCCCACCATTGCGCTTTTCTATAGTTGTGCTTATGTTTTCCAGAATAAATGTTTAGTAAATAGTCAAATTTTGATATTGGCGGCAAGTCAACAGCAAATCTATTGGTTAATAGTTAAACAATTAATAGTATAATTAGCAAAAAGTATTACTCGTCACAGTACATTATTGTAATTACTACCAATTAAAGGCGGGACATATATAACTGTACAACCGTTGTTTACACGCTAACAATTAGTTTGGCAAAATGACCAGTTGAGTCATTTCCATTAGAAAGGCAACAGTGGTCATGTTTATTTTACTGACAAGATTACATAACGTATATTATCATTGAAGTATAGTTTTTTTTTTAACGAGTTCAAGTAGTGTTTTAATTTATTTAGTTAAAAAAAACGTCATTGGCACTTATTGCACCAAGGCGTAAATTGTTTTAAATTTGAATACATTAAAAAAAAAAATAATACACCTTAAGTATGCAAATTGAGTTGCGCATAGCTCGAGTAGGAAGAGATGCATTAAAAGAAAAAGTTCCTGATGAATATACATATCTATACTATTATAGAGCAAGGCAATCGCATACCATATTTTGCCAAGTAGTCAACACATTCAATTTAATTTGTCTGATACCAAAACAGTTAAACTCATCGACTAATGGGAAAATATATAAAGCTGTAAAATAGTCAATATGCGCATACATTTGTTTTTATGTAGTTTTATTTTTAATTCTAGACCATATACAATATCTCTATATTATATAGTGGTATAAATTGTAAACCAAGATCAAAGTTTAAAAATTAAAAACTTTAAAAATGGACTTTTTCCAATTTCCTGGTGTTGACTTTTGAGTAGAGAATTATTTTAGTACGACCACTATTTAAATCGTAAATCATATTGTGTCTATTGACCACGTGCCGGGTAAGACTTCAAGATTTCATCTGAACCCTATGCAAACCGTCAGCTAAGACAATAGACCGCTTTACAATTGCACGCTCCATTTGAACAATGTTTGATTAATTATTATTCATAGTATAATACCAGGCCGACTTAATACCGTGAGTCGGGCGGACTTGAAACCGTTTGGATTGAGATTTCACGGTCAAAACGTCTCTTGACATAACCTATCTAGATACCTACATGGCGATGAATAATAGCAACACGTTATATTTGATATCTTATTTGGTTGCCACAATATTATATGGTATCGTCAAGGGTGAAATTAACGTACACGGTATTATTAAAAATTATTTCCATGCTCATTTGTCGGCTGTTATAGTGCGGGGTCGGGTACACTCACATATGTAAGTATGTACCGTGTATTATAAACAATATGTTATGTCTTCCGAGTCGAAAATCTAGTGGGCGCCCAAAGCCAAAAATGCATTACCGGCGTTTAGACCTTCCTGGTGGTCCGACACCTGTCATACAGCCTAAAAACCAACATGGTGATTTGTGTAAGTACATTATTAGGTATATTGTATATTTTTATTGGAGAAAACACAACCGTATCTCTGACCGTGCACGCCACGTGCGCCTTTTCGACGATTTAGACATAAAACTGATATATTAATAACAATAAACCTGAAGCGTTGGACTTAAACAATAAAAAAAAAACCATAACGATGACAGCCGGACGAAGATGGGTCGACACTTTCAAAGTATATACGTTACTATTAAATTAAACATTTTAATATTATGTTTCTGTATTGTAAAAAAACACAAGCTAAAGTGTCTGAAAATGAAAAACTACAAAGTTAAAACTAATTGTTATATAATTATAAGACTCCAGACAAATTATTTTACTACTTTCTTCTGTATGCTAATCAATGGATTAAATATGATTTATGAATCGAAGTAGAATATTCGTTTAAATTTTTTTAAATTAAACTATAATTATAATAACACAATTAATATTACTTAAATTTGAAGCTGTTTAAACTTTAAATAATTATATGTTACTAGTTTTATATAATATCTAAATATTTTTTTTCCTGAACTATAATGTAAAACTTATTTTATTGATAAATTACTATTACTTATGTAATTCGTATGTAACTATACATTCTTGCTGTATGATAATAGTATGATTCCTATTATAGTTTTAAAATTATTTTCTTCAATCAAACCGTTGTTACTGTTCTTTGTGAGATTGCCGTTAAATTAACTCTTCAAATGCTAAACAATGGATGGAAATGAAATATTTTTTCAATTAGTGTTAACCGTGGGAAAATAGAGGTCATATAAGAAAATAAATATATAAACTCAAGTATGTTTTTTAATATGCTTCTGGAGTTGATATGTGCTTTTTAAAAAATAAGGGTTAACATTTTAAACATGTAGTTAATACTATTATGGGCCAGCTGAGCTGATAAAAAAAGAAATATTAATTTTGTGTGCTTTCTAGTAGTAGTAGTAGTAGTAGTAGTAGTAGTAGTAGTAGTAGTAGAAGTAGTAGTAATAGTATAATAGTAAATGGAGAAACGCATTTCTGTGGAGATATTTATTCAGTTTATGCGAACGGACCCACACAGATACGTTGTCTTATGGTTCAAAGTATCTAAGTAAGGCTATCGTGTGAGGGACAACTCTCCTTACGCCTACTTCTAGGTTTCAATTGATATTTACTAAAATCCGTTAGTATTTAAAACACGGTATATTATTCATTAAATTAACAGAAATGATAGATTACACAACTATAAGAATTAATATGTATACAAATATAATATGTTTTTTTTATTACATTGTTGTATATCTTGAGAATTCCATAAATGAATGCACGACACCAAAATCAATTAAGCCAAACTTTTGTTGAATAATCTCAACGAAAATCAAAAACATATTCGTACTCTCCAATTTTGACCAATCGACGAGTTCTGGTCGAGGTAAGGTTTTTGCCAGTTCCATCAACCTTTTTTTTCTCCGGCTTATCTTTGTTGGCGTCATATAATCCTTATCTATGGTTGGCGTACAGTCATACAATACTCTTGATCGAATATAATTGGTTTTTTCGACAATTTCTTCTGCGTGTCTTTTATTATTGTTTTTATCGGTTAACTCTGCTGGGGACGATTTTAATAACGCCGTGATAACCGTCATTTCTGAATCTTCCTTGAGGTTCAACAGCCTAAGCACTCGTCGACAATACTGGATCATTACTTTGTTGTCTTGCTTGACAAACGACGAATATCTGTCGTGGTCGCCCGTGTATTTCGTTCTTGGCAAATACGCCTCGACTTCCAGTAAGTATTTCCGCGTAATGCGGAAAAGTATCAACTTGATTATGTCCACAAAGTACCGCTGGCATTTGGCAACGTCGTTTATTAGCTCCAGTACAGCGTCGAAGTGTTTACTTTCGAAGCATTCTCTGTTGATCTTGCCGTAAGTCAACCGCCAGCAACGGATCTCGCCCAGCTCGAACAGCAGAGTTTCCATGTGATCATAGTTGCCCATCAAAGGTTTCAAACGCAAATTGTCTAACGCGAAAAGCCGCGAATGATCGTCCAAGGCCATTTGTTTGGTTACGACTTCCAGCCGTTCGTCGATCACCATCATAAATGTCCTGACAAACTCCGTTATCGGACGTCCGGTGTTCGGCGCGGAGCTTATCCGGTGCGCATAGCCGTGGTATAGGGAAAATGTGTCTTCGTAGGAATCGTTGAAAATGTTTTCCCGTTGACATTTGTGTCGGGCGAACAGCGCAAGACGCTGATAGACACAATCCAATTCGTACTCGATGCGGTTGCGCAAACGGCCCTCGACGCCGATTTCCCTCTTGTCGATATGATACTGCACGTACAACGAATACATGTACATCAGCCATATTTGATTGGCAGACTCGAGCATGCCGAAATTGTAAAGAACGTTTAACATCTTGGCAAAGGCACCGTCCGTGGCGAACACTTGGAAATCTTTGGTTGCGATCAGTTCGTTCAACTCGCACTCGCCTGTTTTGTAGAAATACAAACCCACAAGGTTCATGTAGTGGCAGCAGTTGAAAACGTACGAGCACAGCAGTTCGTGGCACATCTCGTCCACCGCAAACGCCGTCGCTTCCTCGTCGGTCAACTGTAGATCTTTGTGTAGGCTCAGAAACTTGTTCTTGTGATAGTATCCCGTGTGGATTTGATACAGTTTCTTAAAGTACGCGGGCGATTTTTCTTTCGCATATTTTTGCCGAACACACGGACGGCCGTTCGCCGGAAAACATGAAAAAAACATCAACACCGCGACCAGTATGCGAAACGACATGTTTACTATGTTGACCATACCTACCTACTTTAATCGGCGACGCACACCACAATACGACTGGCTAAAAACAATTGTCTATGAAAACCGTTTTCAAGCATTTTACATTGTTTGGTTTTTTTTTTGTGCTCGTTATGTTTATACACGTGGGACCGACTGTATTTGTTTCTGCACATCTTGTGTAGCTTTGGCGGAGATCAGGGGGGCTTGGGATACTGGGAAACATTTAAAAATCTTAAAAAAAAATAGGTAAAATATTTATATTTTATACACTAGTACCTACCTAGAGTACAACGTGCCCTTGTTCTTCACGAGTCGTCTACTAGTCTTTTGTTTAAGCAGCGTGCAAAACAACTGTTAATCATAACCGTAAGTATGGTTGTAGGTTTTTTGTTTTATATTGAAATTATTGAATTTCTCCTTATCGTGTGGAAATTAATCGCTATTGTTCTTTGACGATGGAAGAAATTGATTTTAAGCTATTGAATTAATATGAATATATAAAATTTAATCTGTCACTAACCGTTTTCCTATATAATCTAATGGGGAGAGCAGTTTTTTAACAGTGTTGGCTCAGATTTGACACAATTTTGTAGGCTCTTTACTGTGCTTAACTAGTTCTAACTGTTGAAATATTTTTGTCAATAATAATCTGCTTGACCGATTTTATTAAAATAATTACTAAGAGTTGATTAAATGGTTAAATATAGTCAGGCAAGGCTATCGTTGTTGTGTTTTCGATCAATTCGAACCCATCGCGTGAACTTATTATTTTAATAAATTAATTTACATAGCATTATTGAGGCAAACAATACCTACATTTCCAAAGCGTTATGCCGATCATTCTTTACACGTCCACATCTAAAATATTTTACCCAGACACCAGCTGGTCGACGCGATAATTTTATTTCAATGAGCAAAAAAATACTAACGTTAGGAATGACTTTTTTACCCTGAAATTATCTCAAAACCAAAAATATTTGTCTTGTATGAAAAAAAGGAAGCCGTTTAAATCATATTATAGGCGTATTATTCGCATGAATTACAATATATTTAAATATGACCACGGGCCAAGTTGTGTTTTTTTTTTTGTATAATTAATGTGGTAGCTGTTAACAATCTGGACTTTTTTCTTATAGTTATACTCTTTAATCGCGTGCGGACAATAGATGATGTAAAACAAAACCAACCCCCTTTTTATTCAACGACAAGAGTAGGTATTTCTTGTGATGGAAACCAACACACACACACACACACACACACACTGTACACCGTCGAGTAAGTATGTAATATATTATATCCCGGGATAATGCACCGGGATAATGGTCCATGCATTTACGTCAAACAAACAAACTGGATATATACCTTTCTTTTAACATAATATACTACCATAAGCATATAGCCTATAAGAACACAAAAACCGTTTACGAGGCGAACACCTGGCCACCCAACTTCACTGACAACCGGCAGCTACGTTGCGATGGGCAAGGCACCGTCTATTATAATATATCATATTATAATGATGTACGCTATTATTATTATATTATTATCATCGTCATTATTATTATTCTGCACGCGAAACCCTTTGCTTCTCCGCGAAAAACGAATATAGATCAAACGGATGTGCCGACACGATATTCAATTGAATTAAACTACATAGGTAGTGATTAAATTACCAATTGTATTTAATGTTGTTTAACAGCCGTCGAGTATCCACTCCTCTCATTCTCGGATCACAATTTTAAAACAATTGTACCATTTCTTAAAATTAAAAAAAAAATTGACTTTTTTCCTGCTCTATCCAAGTGGCGCACAGTATTGAAAACTTTGTTACAGTAAAAAAACAAGTAGATAAAAAATTAACCAAGTAAATAAAGTTTTAGGCCATTTTTGTTGACAAAAATACTTTTCAAAAGTCCTAAACACGTGCAAATACAGATTACGGATACGGATTTTGAATAGTATTTAAGTACCCAAGGTTAAAAAATATTTAAACACAAATACAGAAATACTCTTAGTGTATTTGAGAAATTAAAAAAAAACAATTTTAAAAACCGTCAAGTTATTAACGATAATTGCCAATTCAATAAAGGTCGATAACATTATAATTTAACTGTAAAAATACTGATTAAAATACTGATGAAATTATTTGATAAAAACAAATAATTTCATGTAAACAGCGTTTTCACAATCCAGTTGAACCCTTTCAGTCCCAAATTGTACTTACAGAATATTTTTTGTAAAATATTTACTTTTTTCTGGTCAGGTGGCACTGCTGAGAGCCTTCCTATTATTATTACATTATTGAATATTGTCACTGTATCTTTGTCATCAGACTAACTGATTATACATATTGTATAGATTGTAAATAAATAAAATATATTTCTTAACAAAAAAAAATATTTACTTACATAAATATTAATCTTTCGGTATTAAAAAATTCAACGAGTAAAAGTATACCACTTTTTTTTTTTTCATTTTAAGTTACAGTTGCAATACTTAAAACATTTATTTGTGTTTTAAGAATATTATATGATTCCTATATTATGACTGAAATAATAAATATAGTTTGACACAAAGAAAAATGGTCTGATTTTTACTTTGAACCTTGGTAAATTAAATGGGTTTAAAAAATCATATTTTATATTAAATTTAAATATATTTTAAATACTTAAACGTATACACACTTTAATGTATTTGAATACATGTAATCTTCATCTAATAGTCTTACTTGTATACTTACACAATTTAAACCTACGTCTGTCCGACAATATCTGACTTGACCATAGTGGTTTAACATAAAAAAAAAGTTTTAAATCTTATTGGATAAGTACATTGCACATACACAGTGGATTCTCAACTTATTTCTAATTATGTTTCTACCATATTGCATAATACACTATAAATGCTTGTATATAGTACTTGAGAAACTTCAAGTTATTTGATCATTTTATTTTTTTACCTGCTTTATAATAATCAACTATTCGGACGTTTCTTTACTGACTCTATCGCGGTTGTAAAAAAGTGTTCCCACCAAATTGAATATTTCATTTCATATTAGATTATGGCATTAGATGTTTAATCTTCAGCAATGCTACATGCGAAGGCTTAGAGTAATTTACAAATAGCTCTGCACTATATTTTATTATTTTTTTTTATTGAAGTACACGCACCGCCTGGATGATGCAAATACATTATGTTATTGCTGTTTTTGCGTGCGATTTTATTAACCCTCCTTATCCATTAAAAAAAATAACAAATATAATAAGACTATAAGGAAGAGCCGTTGGACACCATCAGCATTCTCATATGTGTCTCGTGAGATTTGTCGGAATTAAAAAATAAATTGTTCATTGAAAACATGATATTATTATTATGAGAGCATCTTTCGTGAAGACAATAAAAAAAATATATATATAATAACCGATATTATTTTAGGTTTTCAATCTAAAAAAAAAACACAAGTAGTTAACAAGAGTAGACTTAAACGAAACGCGTTAGTTGATTGTTATCATTTGCCTCCTAGTCATTTTTTTTTTTACTTTTAGCCCAACAACAGTTTTTTTTAGTCTAATAAACCTATTTACCAAAGATCTTTTAGGCGGACAGTTGAGTTTAAAATTATATCCTATATAAATAAACGAAAATAGGGTTGCATTTAAACCAATGATTATATCATACAGATTACAGCTGTTATCATAAAAAATAATTATAAGAAAATTGAATTACATTGATTTTTATGTTATTCTTACAGTAAATAAGTTTTAAAAAAAATTCAACAGTATAATATTAGAATCTATAATGTGTACACAAAAATTGTAGGTGTTATGTGAGTTTTTAAATTTTTAGTTAATTTAAAAAATATAACATACTTAAATGTTGATACTTAAATAAACGACTTAATTCAACAAAATGAAGTACATATAAATGAACAAATACCACGAAAACCAATGCCATTGAATCTAGTATTAATAAACTCATTATTTAATACTATTCAACGTTATACCGTTTATTTGTTGTGTTGGAATTTGGTAGCAATTTGCAAGTGAATATAATTTGCCCACCTTTAGATTTGGTATATACTTGTAGTTAGTATGTATGTTCAATGTTAATATGTTTTATATTAACCCATTGTGAAACCATAAGTAAGTATTCGATAAACAAACAGGACGTTACAAGTTGGTGCGGTTAGATTTTCCGCAACGATACAACTGTTGACAAACTTTGTATGTAACCGTTGATACAGCTTTTATTTAAATTGTGTGCAAAGCAGTTAATGCGTCAACTCGTAGTAAAAATCATTTTAATTTACCGCGTGTCATAGTTTTTCGTTTTTTGTATTATAAAATTTCGTTTTTCACAATCTTCGGAAGTTTGTAAACGTTTCACATCTTTACAGTATGATTTAAAACCAAAAATAATCCCCCCCCCCCCAAAAAAAAAAAATTAACTCTATGGCTTCACAATCGATTTAAACTATACATTTCTCAATTTTGTTATTCTTTAGAATAACATTTTTTTATATTAATTGCACACAATTGCATTTGCCAATTAGAAACGCAATTATAATTGTGACAAATTAGTATTAGTTATTGTTGTATTTCACCGATTATAATACAATATTGATTGGCTAGATATTTTGGCCTCATAATCGATATGTTTGTTTGTTTCATGCGTTGGGCGTAACCACGGTGGTATATAAAAATGCGTGTTTTTTCAGAATTTGTAACAACCTAATTTTTTAAACGTTTTTATATTGTTTACTCACTTGAAATTGTGTGTATTCCGTGCATAGGTACTGTTACAAACTGTGTTTTTTTTTTTATAACTATCGCCGTATAGAATGGGCGACAACGCAGAAACGCAGCCAAACCCTGATGACCAGAACGACGAGGCCGCGGTGTCGCCGTTTTCCAAAGAGGCTTATGTGTGTGACAGACAGTACGCCATCGTTCTTGCACAATTGATTTCGGTCAACGAACGCGAAAAAGTGTACAAGTGGATAGAGAGGTAATGATAGTAGTAAATGATTTAATAATTCCCCCCAAAAAAAAAAAAATGTTTTGTCACACATTGACAACGTTAAGCAAATTGTCAGTTCGATTCAATTGAACATTTGTGATTCCAACAATAGCCTCTTAACTAAACACCATCAAACCGTGTGTTCCACCTACCGCAGAAGAACGTTTCAACTTGACAGTCAGGTCCGACCACATATCTATAACAAATAAAACATTTTTTCAAAAGTCTTCAATAGCTACACTGACCGTATTAAAGTGTATAAACGGGCCTTTGTCGATTTTTTTGCAAAAAAACAGTCAATTAGTAGATACTTGTTTTTGATTGTATTTCTCACCAATCTCAATCAGTGTGTTAATTTCACTATACAATATACTGGATTCCAGTCCTCGACTAGCTTTTCTAGTAAGTTTCAGCAGCTACTCGATAGAAGTGCGCTCAATAAAAGTTCCATAATGAAAAACAAATTGAATCGATTTAACCATTTCTATGTAAAGACTAGCAGAGTGAACAAAATGCTATTATAACAATACTTAGGACAATCAGTTTGGTTGGGACAATGCTCCCGGTATCATTTGTTCATCTCGCGTCTTATTTAGCCCATCAACTACTTCATACATCTCTTTCGTCGCCGGTTTCACATTATCTTGTCTTTGCGAGAAATTCAATGCTCGATTCTCCTCAAAATGCTCTGCTAAACCTTTGGAGTTTTTTTTTTTACAAATAACACGAATAGGAACACCGTTTTCACACAAGTCTCAAACGGCATCTAATACGGTTAATCGACATATTATAGGCTGGACAAGATGACGGAATGCGACGAGGTGCTGGAAGAACGAGCCATGTACCTGAGGTTCTTGACGCTGTCGCTGAAAAACGGCAAGCTGGTGTCGCCTTTTACCAAACTACCGCCACCCAGTTTGCGGCCCCTGAGCGTGGTCATGCCTAGATCAGTGCACAATTTGGTGTTCAAAGAGAAACTTGCCACCGGCGCCGACTGTCCCCCTACCGAGGATACCACGACCAAAAGATATTGCCCACCTGACGAAATCGAGCCGAAGTTGTTCTTCAGCAGGCAGCCTATGCCGCGAAACGGAGTCCTTTCGTATGCCGCCGCGTTTAGCACAAAATAATTGACAAACCAAATACACCATCGATTCGTTTTAGTCTGATTATTTTTTGAGACTACATTAATAACCACTTTGCCGGACGTCTTGTGTGATCACAGAACATCTACAACCCTAAAACCACAGAATAGATTTAATAGATAAGGATTAGATTAAGTCTATTCTGTGCTAACCTCATCAATCATGTGTGCATCCGCAGCAGTTCTTAAATCCGACGTCAAAACTCACTGCACGTGCCAAAATAATCGTAAAGCCATGACCGACCAACTCTGCTTACAAATCTGGAGACCTATAAAAAAAAATCAAATCTTTAAAATACACACTGTCCAAAAGAAAACTATCCGTCTGCTTACTAACTCTCCTTACTATACAGGGTGACTCATATAGGATAAGACGCTTGTTTTTGTTTAGGTTACTGTACACAATTATAAAATTACCCAATATTTACCTTTTTTAATTTTAATATTTTCTAATATAGTATTACTTTTCAAATCTTTTATTTTGAGATTTATCATTTAGGCTTGACTTTAGGCGAAGCCGGGTATATAAGCTGTTATAATTTATTGATTTAAGTTGGATCGTGAATAGTTAAGATAAGTGTGTAGAGGGACTAGGGTACATAAGTAATAGAACGGCCTGAATGAATTAGAAGTTGTGCCAATAGCAGGAAAAATGAAAGCAAATAATAAATTGAAATTGTTTGAGCTAGCTGAAAAAAAGATTCGCTGCTAAAATGTATGGCTTAACCTAACATAGACATGGCTTAGTTTTGTTAAGCTGCATTTTGTTTTTTTATTGAAGATCCGAAAGTTTGTTGTATCATCTGAAAATCGAATTGCATTGATAGCACATAATTTAGTTGGATACAATATTATTCAAACTTGGCCTTATGCATTTGTCTTTCTAAAACTATGACAACAGAATCAATACCATTTTTTTTTTCAGGTTTAATTTAATAACACTGTAGAATATTATTCGATAATTTTAAGCATTTAAATATAGTTTTTATTTTTATTTGACGTTTACGGCTGCGATGACAAACGACAATGGCTCATCAATTAGCTCGACTTCTTTGCCAGAACGGAATTGGTCGACGAGTTATGTCCAGCAAAATGGGCTCAATCACAAACTGTCGAACGTGGAATCTTATTCGACTCTTTTTAGCGACGTTTCCTTGTTCAACAATTCAGAATGTGATGGGGACGATACGATAGAGTACACGTTAGCCATTATTAAACCGACAGCCACCCAATACATGTACAAGGTGGAAAACCTAATGAGGCAGAAAGAATTTGTTGTGAAAAAAGTACTAAGACACAAATAACACATAAGCCACTAATAGCACCGGAAATCCTAGAGATATCCCCCTATGGATGGATAGTAATCCATAGAGAATGCGAAATTAACTAATTCATCAATGTTATCCCGTCGAGGCACGACGATAGAGATTTGTCCAAGATTCAGGACTCCTTTGGAGGAGCACAGTAGGTTACATTTTTATTGCTTTCTTCGTCCCATTTGGGCATCTCGTAAGACTTTCGGTGTTATGGGGGACGACCACTGAACTCAAAATATGGAATGCGCATACCGGTTGAAGTATGTCCCGACCTAGGATGCAGCCATGTTGTGTATGATTAAAATGTTAGGTTAGATGATGACGACATGATGATAACACCACAGAATAACCTATTATCACCCCAGAGATTTATAATTTACTGGATTTCTAACTAGTGATAAGAATTGTAGTCGACGTCCGTCATTTTGTGGGATGTATGTTTGTATAAAATAATATATATATAATATATACATTTGTGATTTTATGTTATAAAAATAACTTAGGTATAAATGTTTAAAACATATTTTCATGTTATGAGGTTCTAATACCAACAAACTTGGCGGACAATGGTAATTTCAATAGATGGTTGGCGGCATGTACATTTAACAAAACAATCTAGTTTAATATATATATATATATATCTGCGAGTATCACAGATTAAGTAAAACCAAATATTGAACTTCAAAGTAAAACAATAGATTTTCAAATAACGATTTTTGATTGGCTTAAACTTAATGCAGTAGTGCCAAATTGTAGTGCCGAAAATATCGTACACACTATTTACAATAATAACGTAAACTGATAAGAATTACTGATAACAAGTAGTTGATTAACGATGGTAGACAATGATAACATTACAGATGTTTTAATAACATTTCGTTGACCACAAAAAAGTATTTTTTTTTTCTGTCATTTTTTGGTCACACTGACCTGGAGATTATAAAAATTTGTTTACAGTTTTCGATTTTTTTTGGAGTGCACTAACTGGTTTTACTCGATCTGTGCTACTATTACAAACCCAGTATAAAACCCGTTGGCATTACAGAATAACCCATTATTTTGTGAAAAACTCGTGTTATTCATTCGATAAATCATAGGAACAACAATAACCGTTCACAATATGGCAACCGACAATGGGCAATGCGCGTTCCATGTATTGAGTTCACGGGGGACAACTTAGTATGTAAGCATAGTAAGTTCATCCGCCGGTCGTCGGTATTTAGAAAGACGTGGTTCAACTGAGGAAAGAAGATGCGGCAGATTTTTATCACAATCACAAGTTTGAAATGCGCTATCCGCAACTGGTGGAACACTTGGCCAGCGGTCCGATCGTCGTGTACGTGTTGATGAAAACCAATTGCATCGACGAGTGGAAGAGATGCGTGGGGCCGCCCAATGTGGCTTTTGCAAGAACTTACCATCCGCTCACGTTGCGGGCAATCTACGGGCTGGACCCCGAGACATCGGCCGCGGCCAACGGTTTCCACGGTAGCGACAGCCGTCTTGCGGCGCACAAAGAAATACTGTTCTTCTTCCCGTACAGTAAGTGTACATATCCGGGACGGAACGCATAAAATAAACGGTAAAGATAACAGTAGGCACGTTGTGTTGTGCGCAGGCGACTTGGACGACACTTTGAACTTGGACGTCATGATGGATTTCATACAAAACGTGATGATGCCGGTAATAAACAAAGGGTTCGGGGAGCTGTACAAAGAGAATCCCGACGATCCTCTCAGGTGGTTTGCAAACTGGATAATGCACAACAACCCGAACAAATCGGAATCGGATGCTCGTAAATAATAATAACAACAATATGTCAGATCAAGACGAACACCGGACGTCCAAGACGTTCCACGAGTTTTTTTTAAATTCAGTAAAAATGAAAGCGGTCAAAAAGAATACCTACAACAATTGTGTTGTCTTTGGCCAAATTTAAAGAACCCACTGGTTCAAATCCTGGCCGTCCACTAAAAAATGTATGAGATTTTTTTTTATTTGATACAATCCAATTTTATAACACTCGACTTGGTTTTTAAAAACTTTATTTTAAGTACATGCAGTAATAGATATCTAAGCCAGTTCGAACTTTGTCTCAAAAAATAACGCGCAAAATCAAGGCGCTTGTCTTTATATATTATACAGAATACCACCGACAGGTGGTGGTTATTTTACCACTCAACATCTCATAGGGTTTAGTAAGAGTTTAACTTTTTTTTCATGCTATGTTTTTATACGATGTGATCTCAATTTTTCAAAAAAAATGTTTACCCCCTTCCCAACTTAGTTTTTTTTTATAGCAACTTTTGAAACATAAATGGTACCGCATAAATTTCATCAACGTTTTAAATTGAGAATAATGTAATAAAAACGTTTACAGTGATTATTATACAATAGGTATTGATTGTAATATTGTTATAATAATCCATTGACCATTTCCTGTAAAAAGAGGCGGACAGGTTTTTTTCATTTTACTTTTATCGAGCATAGGTTTTGAACTTAAGGACTGAAAAAATTAGACTGTTGGTATGTCTAGCCTGGTCTTATAACGTTTACTATTTTTTAAGGTAAAAACCAAATACACGATTAACAGCAATATTAAACTGGTATAAAATCATAAGTTGTCAGCTATTGATATTTACTAATAATTGTAATTATGCCCCGACCCCATTTTTGGGTTTTTTTTTAATTGATAGGTGACTTATATAGGTGAAAAAAAATTGTTGCTAAATTGCTCACTTTTTATGATGCAATAACAATTACCGAATTATTATTATGTGGCGCGCTATAGTTAGTAATTTGAACACAGTATAATCTTTGGTGCCAAATATGACCATGCACGTTGCTCGTTGCTAACGTGTAATTTACTTGGTTGTAATTACATTTGAATATTATAAAATATAAGATTTAATAATAAATTATAAACGTCGTTTGTTGCCCACAGAACCGAACCAATATCCGGCGAGCCTTTAGTTTTTTACACACCATACACCTAAAAAAATGTGTATTGCCATTTGACATGGACATTTTTCTTAAACATCGCCTACAATGTAAGACTACACGATAAAAGGCATGTGTAAAAAAATAAAATCGTTCAGACATTGACCCGGGACGGCAGATTATCGATTTCGGTCAATATTTTTAAGCCAATACGGTAAAAACCGCTTTTCGTTATCGCAAAGCCCGACCGAGGCAATGCGTTGTGTGTTTATCGCCCATTGATGATATCTTTGTATATATAAATATATATATAAAACCTATTGTGTGTGTGTGTGTATTAAATAATAGCCGTTAAGTGCCCACTTGGTTAGGTGCATTACAATTGGTATTCGCCACATTGGTCTCAGTTGCGATGGACAAAACTTTAGGGCGAACATTGTTGTTTTCGACGACGCTTTAAAAAGTGAAAAAAAACGGTCTACTTCAGCAAAATCAAATAGTAACGGTCGACGCCAAAACTAGGAACATTTTCCCGGCACAATACTGCTCAAAAGGCAAGTACTCGATTCAATTATTATTATTATTATTTTACTGGCTTAGGGCTGTGTGAGAATAGCCTGGGTTATAAAATATTTTCCGGTGACTACTCTTGAGTATAACAAAAATCGTTCCAGCAGTTAAAAAGTATAATATGTAGGCAAAAGAAAAATCCGCAAATCGTGAATCAGGTAGTGGTTGGTTACTGCCCAAATGCAACTATAATAAATTGTTTACCACTGTAATAAACAAATTCGGGTTAGCTTGTACCTAGATATGGATAATATTGTATAATAATATTATGCGATACGGAAAGCGAAAACGGACCTCTTTTTCAAAACTTAGATAATGCTGTTGTCTGAATCGTTATTGATTTTTGAACAAATTTTGACTCCTGGCACACATCACCGCTTTCCACCACTTACACAATATATTGTGATGTAAACTGTTCTTTAGGCTATAAAATTGTCATAATAAAATGCTAATTGATAATTTAAATTGCTTGTACACAGTAGTAAATAAATAGCTGACGGTAAATAAATCATGTAAGTAAACAGTTTTTTCTTAAAAATTTTAGTGTTTCATAAAATGTTCAATATTTCAGTGGAGGGGGAGTAAGTAGGCCCCACACAAAAAAAAAAAAGTGTTCAGACTGCATTATCTTTATAATGGTTGTAGAATATCAAAAATTGCATGTACGTTTGTTTTGCCAATAATTCACAAGCATAAATACAGAAACAGCTGTTTCGCGCACACTCGCTTTTCTCACTAATTTAAATCGATAGGTATTACTTGGGTGTTTGTATGTCTAATAATATATATCATTATACATGAACTGTTTGTACAGGTAGTCGTGACTGTAGAATTGCTGGTATTGCTGTCGAACAATGGACAAACTCAGGAAATTTCGTATGACCGCCGAAAGTCGCCAATCCAAACAAATGGACGCCAACAGTAACTGTGTTGTGAGTACACTATTGTTTACCGTACTTAAGTGGAGATCCATTTTGATCTTGACGGGCAAAAGAAATGATTTTCATTGTCCGTGGTCATGCATACAATATGGGTCCGTCCAAAATGCCTAGATCCACGTGTACACTTTTGTAGTGCTTCGATTCAGATATCCAAGTTCTAACACGGTTCGCTGTTTTCGTTTAGGTCAAAAGCAAAAAGAAAAAGCTGAACCTGACCAAAGAGCTGATCGGGGGCATGGCGCATTTCAAAAAAATAATGACGACGGGTTTGCAGAAAAAGAACAAGAAAATAAGGTAAAACTAAGTATAAAATTTAAAAAAAATCACAATACTGTTGGCAGTTTTTAGTGTTGGAAAAAAATATACATATTTTTGTAATTAAATTTAATTACTGATTACGTCGCAAGGTTATAGTTAATTTACTCACAATTTATTTTAATTTCTTGACAAAAAAGTAACTTTTTCACAACCACTTTTGTTTTTTTTTCTTCACTACAGCTTTATTATTATGATATTTAATACATTACCAAACTGAAGACTAAGAATAGAACGTTTTTTTTGCCTTGGTCATTGGAAATGTCTCCTTTGGAAAAAGTCAATATAAATCATATTTACAAATGTTGTCAATAAAGTATATTTGGCCTTGAATTAATACTATGCGCGATTCAATTACTATCAAGCTAATTTAAAATTAATATCATTACAGTTACTTGTAGGATTAAGGGTATTCAGATTTTTCAAATATTTGTTTTTTTGGAAAGGGGGATTTTTTATCAAGTATGTTTGTTTTTAAATTTGAATTAATTTCATTTTAAAAAATGTTGAATGCGTTTTGTGCAACTAAAAGCGCGTTTTCCTTAAAACTATGCTTAAACTCACTCGACGGATTTCAATTAAATTTATACAGAATATTCTAGACATGGAAAACTACTCATTAATCGAACGATTTTTTATTTTTTGAAATAATACATTTTTTTAAAGCAATAAACATGCGCTTTTTTCCTTAAAATTCATACATAAACTTTCAGAGGCCGCCATTTTACTTAATTTGAACAAAAACCATTCGATTAAGCGCTAGTATTAAACTAATCATTTTTTTTTTTTAATTAATTAAAAATAAACCACTAAGAAATACTGATGGTCATTGCTCGGCACTACTTGTAAAACAAAGCGCTCAACAACCAAGCAGATAACTTGGTTCAGACATACTTCCAGACTGGGTCCTTCATATTTTGATTTGAAATTGATGTAAAATTGTCTAGAAATATAGTAATACTATATTATAGCATAGAAAAAACTTGGAATTATATTATATTGTCAAATAAAAAAACATACAACAGTTTAAAAAAAATTATTTAAAATGCCTAATTTCTTCAACCCTCTAAACCCTTAAAATTAAAAGTTGCAATGTGTGGTTTAGTTTTCTAGATCCGACCAATGGAGAAAAGATGAAAGTGGACTGCGAGGACACTCGGATGACCAAACGGTTGTGGCACGTAAGCCTGAAAACTTTGGAGGAGCTGATCACGAGGGAGAGGCGCCACCGACAGGAGTACGCGGTCAACCTGGTCCGGCACCTGGACAGGCTGCGCGAGTTGGACAGAGCCAAAGGAGAGTACGCGGAACAGCTGAAACAGTCGTTGGCCGACGAGGACAAAGCCATCGAGGCGTTGCGCACGGACATCCGTGCGGCCAACGAAGAGTTCGACAACCGCAGACGGTGGTTCTACCGGTTCTATCTGGAAACGTTCGGCCGGTCGTCGTTGCTCGACGCCGCCAAGGCTTTCGAGGCGGCTTGCGAAGAGGCCGCGGCGGCCGCCGAAGCCTCGTCGACGGCGGTCGTGTGCGAGACGGACGCCGAAACAGCGGCGGCCGCGGCTGCGGTGTCCGACATGGCCAACAGCCTGCGCCGACGGATCCGTTCGTTGGCGGTTGATGCGTCCACAAAGCTCACCCGCGACGCCTGTCCGTCCCGGACGGAAATCGTCCAGACGGCTGCCCGGCGATTGTCCGTCGTGCCCACCGTAGCGGCGCCCATACAACCTCGGGACGGCGACAAAAACTTCCTGGCCGTATGGTACGCGGCTGTGTCGGCGCACCAGAGCAATCGAACGCTCGAGTCGACGGTGGACGCGTTAGACCACCAGACGGACGTGCTGCGAGACCGCCTATCCGACGTGACGGCTCGGCACGCGGAACTGAGTGCTAACAAATACGGCAGACAGACCGAGGCCGTCGTACTGGACGACTTCTATGCGGTCACTGAAGAGATCAACGCGCAGCAGATGAGGAGCTTGGAGTTTAGCCGCATATTCGCAGTGGACAACGATCAGCTGGCCGAGGACATGGACAAGATTCAACAGCTCAAGGACAAAATAGCCGAGTAAGCATGTTTAACAATAGTTAAAACTTGACTTGTTGTGGCGTTAGACTTGAATATGTCGAGGAATGTGTTTATCTAAAGTTTTTTTTAAAAAACAACTATATACTTATTACTTACATATATAACAACCATATTTTTTTCAAAAATCAACTTAAATTAGATACTTACATATTATGGATAAAAGAGTAGAATGTTGATATTAACTTGATCAGCAAATATCATTCACTTTAACGCACTTTGTCTCTTACAAAAAAGTAGTCCTTCAGTGGCTGCGATGTGCATCGACGTTAGTTAGCAATTAAATTTAACATTTATATTTTATAATTTCGGTTTTTTTTCTTAAATTTACCAATACTGTCACAATAAACGTGCTCTGTCTGTCTTGGCCGCAGGAAGAAAAAGACCAAAGAAAAGTTGCTCGAACAGACCGGCGGCCTGAAATGCCAGCTGGACGAGTACAAGGGTCAGTACGAGGAGCTGTTGACCAGAAAGAACCGGTTGACCGAAGATCTAATAAACGTGCAGAAGTCGCCCAGCAAACTCCTCGACCAGTCCGAATTGTCGCACTTCCAAGCGCTCAACCAGCACCGGGCTTTGCACTTGAAAGAACTGAAAAAGCAATACAACAAACTGACCAATGTAAATGACCCGGCACAGACGTAACGCCTATTATAGTATTCTTATCTACGCACTTAAACGTCTCACAGGTGTTGCGAACGTGCAATACCGTGCATTTTTATACCTAATTGATACCACGAACGCGGTAAAAGACACACACACGCACTCATACAAGTTATACAAAAATTAACCTATAAATAGATATTTTATATTATAGCCACAGATATTTGAAACAAAATTATAAACCTCTATTTTTACATGATCAATGAGCGTGGACACCGGTGTCCGTTAACAACGCGAAAGCTGACAATTATTATTTAAATATATTTTATATGACTTACCATTTTAACCTAGTATATTATATTGTATATGTGTAAACCCATAATTATAATATACTGCGACCTATACACATTAGACGTATGTGCAATATAATATAATGTAAAAACTTGTAAACAACAACATTATGTTTTCTTTAATAACGCCGAGAAGAAACTTTCTATCCGCCCTGTTCGCCTTGGCCCTTCTCGAAAACACTTGATTTTGAGTGTTAAATCCGAAATGTTTTCCATTCAATCCGATTTTCCGCACCGAGCCTAACCGCAAACTGTCCTCGAATAAGACCCCGTTGAGGTTTTAACTAAGTTTAAGGAATAAGTACACAAAAACAATTCAAACAATTTCACAGATATATATATATATATACAGGTGTCCTACAAAGACTTGACAAATGAAATAACACTTGCACTTAACTATTTTACTTTTTTTTCTTTTCCTTTTTTTGGTTTCCTTTTTTTTTTAAATTTAAGATAGCTATTTTATTCAGAATAATTTGCTGAGAATTTTGACCGAGAGACAACCAATATTAGATGAATAATTTTAAACTTAAATAAGTTTCAAATAAATTATCTAATATTCATTTGAAATTCTTAGCAAACTATTCTGAATACAATTGCTCTTGAATAAAAAAAAAATGATTTATAATAGTCAAGTACAACAAAAAACGTGGTGTTCATAGCGCAAATTAGTGTAAATTAATTTAAAAACAAAAAATATTCACCAGAACAAAAGTTTTTTCATTTGTCAGGTCTTTGAGGGACACGTAGTATAATAAACTAGATTGCCAACTATTGATAAGAAATTGAAGTCGACGTTGGCCATTTTTGTGGGATTTAGGTATGTGTGCATAAAATAATATCTATATATATATCTGTGTTTCTATGCTACCAACTTAACTTTTAATATTGTTATAAACAGTGATAACAGTTATAAACATAATATGTGATAAGCTTCTAATTCCCACAAAGATGGCGGAAAACGGAAACTTCAGAGTTCAGTGAACACTTAGCAATCTAGTTTATTATAATTTATACATATAAGGCGCCTAGAACACAAGGCAGAGTTAAGTGACATTTTATTGATTTTGAGAAAATCAAGCTCAAAGTTTACACCCATATGGTGTTTTCGTTTAGGGGTTAGGTGTATTGTTACCAGATCGCAGCAAATGATGAATAATTCACTTATTCATCTTTACCGTCAAATAAAATGGACAATAATATGTAGTTAACAATATGTAATATGTAGTTTAGCTGTGGACTTACCACAGATTTTGTAAAAATGTCACTTATACCCCTTGTGCTCTAGGAGCCTCAATTATATATCTCTGCCCCCCCCCTGAGGTCGGGCGAGATAAAATTGAATGGGTTTTACCTAATTTTTTCGTTTTTCATTTTTATTTAGTCGTGTCTTCGGGTTCTTGATCGTCAATTCAATCACCGTTCGCGCCGCTTTTGGTGTTATTGATATTATTTATTTTAAACTGTTATTGTTGTTGTGTGGTGTGTTGTGTGTGTGTTCAATAATATTAATGTACGATACCGCGTGGGTTTTTTTGCAGAAGAGAGACGCGTTAAAAACGAAACTGTACAAATATAACCAAACGGTCAAGAACACTCCCAACCGGACCAACCCGAAACCATGACCGCTCGCCGTCCATACCGTTGTCCCATTTAGATTACAATGATTATTATTATATTCTCATGTCTACCATTAATATTATGTTTAATTTTGTACTATTAATTTGTTTAAATTTTCCTATTATTTATTGTTTAATTGAACTAATATGTAAAACAATTGTTTTCTTTTTTTTTTCTCATAATTATCTGTATTAATTGATTATTGCATGTATATATAGTATTTATTTTTGACATTTATCTCTAGGGGAATAATGATTAAAAAAAAAAAAAAAATACATAATATATAATTCTATAAAAAAAAAAAGTTAAATATGTATCTAATGATATAATTACGATTTATAAATATATTTGAAAGAGATGTTTATTATTGTTTTTTTTTTTTTTTTTTAATGTGGCTAGCTATTATTAACAACAATTCTGATTCAAATTATCACGATAAATATTTAAATCCCGGTTAAATACCTTTATTATAATTAAATTATTACTGACGCTGTAAATTGAATTAACAGTAAAAAAGAAAAATTTAACAATTGCACGGTTGCATTGTTTTTATTGGTTGTACTTATAAGTATTAAATGTTATTTTCTTAATGTCCATTCCCGTTCAAATAACACAAAGAAGATAGCAGTTATGGGTATCGTTTACAAATTACAATTACTAGCAACAAAATCAAAAGTGAAGTGATTTATTTTTATCTAACTAAAGTGTGTATCTTTTTTACCTATCTAAATAAATAGTGAAATTTATCTAGATAAATACGGTCAATCTTAATCTTTTATAATATGCAAAAATATTGGTAACTATCTAGTTTGCACACAACTACAAATAAATAATTACAATGGACTAGATTTAATTTTTAATTTAAAAAATAGTCAAGTCGATTTAGTCGAATAGTTCTCAAATGACTGTTTAATAATAATTTTTATAGCATTAGATCAACTTAAAATGTAAACAATTTGATACCTATAATTGTGTATTATACATGTGAAAAGTACTGATTTAATGAAATTATTTGACATAGCCAACTTTATTTGACCGTGTTTTAAGGTATTTTCTGTCTATCTGTGGCTTATTTCAAACTACTTTTACCTACCGTGCAACAACGAAGCGATAAACTTAAGTTGACGGCTAGGTTGTGTTTACTATGAATCAAGGTATGTGTCATTGCATTTTTTGTATTATGCTAAGTATTCTATAAAAATTACTCAAAGCGAACATCGAACAAGTTGGGTTGTATACAACTGCAAACGTGTAAAACTTAAGGTAACAAATTAGGTTTAAAAAATAATGTAATATGTATAATATATATTTTCATATATTATAATTTGTATATTTAAAAATTATAATAACAACTAAGTAAAATGATTGTGTCTAATAATCCCGTTGAATTATTATATGATAATAAATTAATAGTTTTTTTGTAAATAAATACAAACACACGTTACACTTGGTGTTTTAGTTATTATTGAATTTACACGTCATAAAAAAAACATAAGTATACGTAACAATATAAATAATTGTTAATTGATATTATAGTCCGAATACAAAGTCTTTCGCTTAACCATACATAGTTATTACTTTATCCAGACTTAAAAATTTTAGTATACATATTTTGAGTATTATACATATTTCATAGAAAAGCTGCTATGGAGTATAATATTATATATTTATACAACATAAATTGAAATCACAATCACAGTAGTAATAATACAAATAATAATAATATAAAAGCGTGTTAATGAGAGCTGTTTTGGTACGGGCATACACTCTTTTTGTTTGTAATAAATTAATTATATTCGTTGCTTCGGCTGTATACCGCGAGGATACATAAATGTAAAAAAAAAAATAATAATAATAATGATAAAAGTATTTAATAACGTATCGACTAACGTAGAAATTGTATTATCAAAATAGCAATTTAGTATCAAAATTCTAGCACTAAAACGCAAAAGCGAAAAGGGTCCTGCGCCAACAGTATAATAAACTAACAAAAAAATTAATATATATGCTACGCCCGGAGACACATATTATAATATCTACATACATTGGATCTGTTCATTACAAACATAAAATAAAATTTTATAAAAATATATGTATAAATTGTAAAAAGTATTTAGTTCATTGTATGTATCGTATACCAAAGAAAAAAGTATACAGTAACGACCGTTGTATTTATCAATTTAACAAAAAATAAGTATTAATATTAATATTGCGGTTAATTCGATTTTTCATTAATAATAAAATGTTATTTTTCTCTTGACGACAATTTTTAAAATGTACACGAGTTTGGTTCTGATGAAAAGCATTTGCCATTTTTTTTAAAAATAATTACATTCAAATTATGACTTGATAGAGCTAATCGTAAACAGTACAAAATTATTATGGTTACAGTACAGAACTTATGTCGTTTGAGAAATTATCATAAAATATTATTATTATTTATCACAATTAAAGTTATCAAAGCATACTTGAGCAAAAGAAGTTATTTTTTTGTATGTTCAACACAAAGTAAATATTGTACAAGTGTTTGGCATGACACAATTTTTAAGCTCAACCAACAGAGTTTAGGATTAAATACTGTTAATTTATAATATTATATAAAAACATAAATAAAAGTTTGGAAGAAAAATGAACACTATGAATGTTGATTCGTATAAACGAATTTTAAATGCACATTAATGTTCTTCGTATAAGTGTGAATGTATAGTTGGTTTACTATATTAGTCTTTAATGATGTTTAAAAAAAAAAAAATTACTGTTGTATAGAAAATAAAAAAAGTATTACCAATTTTTACTTAAATAATTAGAATAATATAGTTTACGGTTTCGTATAAAAAAATGTTTTATACATATATAATCATAATTATTATAAACAGAAAAATGATTTCTAAAACAATGGCAACAACACATTAAAATAGTTCTCATCATTTATCATAAAATATATGAATTAACGTTACAAAATAGATTAATTACATAATAGAAAAAAATTAATATACTTGTGGTCTATACCAACTTAAATGGGTAACATTGACGTAATATTTTATGAGTTTCGATAAAATAATATATTAAAATATAAATATAATATATATATATAAAAAAAAAAGAAAACTGTAATTTTTGTTTACCAACAATAAAAATGTACGAGTGTTGAGCTCCGATTTTAGGTAAAGCGTTTCATTGTGTTTATCGATTTCCGGCGAGACGTACATACACGGTTATTCAAAAGTATACATAAAAAAAAAAAAAAGGTTTTGTGTATATCAAAAGGAACGATGTACAATAATAAGTACAGAATATACAGATTTTTTTTATTTTTATTTTTTGGCTAATAACATCATCAGATGAAGCAAAATACAGAGTTTTCTATACACAATAATCAGTCATTGCGAGTAACTTAGAATTTTCATCGAGACGATACGATCCTAAGCCCCGAGGACAACTAAATACAACTATTGGAGATAAAAAAAAAAAGCTACCATTACAGCACTCAAATAAACCTAAATAATTATTACAAAGAAACCTGTGTCTAATAAACCTAAATTATTATGATAATAAAAATATACTTGTTTTCGTTGTAAAAATGAATCAATGCTGTTAAAATGTTGTTTCATCAAATATAATATGTATATTTATATACATATGTGTACATACATATATATGTCCCTAAAAACAAAAAACAAATCATTAAATTAATACAATCTACAATACATGGACGGCAACAGCGGCGTAGCGCAAGAGTTTGAAATGGAATTTATACTTACGGCATTAGGTATTAGGTGAATTAGCTCTGCTCACAATGACTTATTTTGTATTGTATTTAATGTAATTTTTCATTTTGACATATTTGATGGCAACGTAGCAGATCTTTGATGGGCAGCATTTGAACTGTACAACTTCATGGTAGAGCGTGTTGATTCCCTATTCAATTAATATAATTTTATTATTTATATTATAATTTGAAACGACACCCCGTTAAATTTAAATTGTATTATATGTGCTACACGTTTTAAGTAATGTTGGTCATGTTAAGCGTAATTGGTGCAAAGTTCACATTAGTTTTTGTATGTGTTATTCGAAAGAAGTTATTAAATGCTATCTATCATTTACTATTTTAAGACATAATGATGACAACAAAAAATTACAACATTAGCTCAAGAGCATTAGAATAATGCTTTCAAAGCATTATTAAATAAAAACAAAATTATATTTGAGTGTTATTTGTGATTTTCTGTATTGTTAATTTGAAAAATACTTATTTGGAAGTGATTTATTTATCAGAACTATTAAATTAAAAAAAAAATTACTCAATATTTGTACAATCAAATTTTTATAGTCGTCTGTTAATAATAATTTATATATATATTAATTATACACACAATTAAATTACTATGATTTATTTACCTTGGTGAAATTTTAGATCCATCAGGATTGGTGTTGGCTTTGTAACCAAACTTTTGGATTTTTTTACTCAATCTCTGGACCCATAGTTTTTGATCGTCTCGATTAGGTGCCAATATTAGCAACTCTTTGGCCGATGTAGGATCGTTATGGAGTTTACATGGCGCAATAGCGTCTTCTTTACGCTCCAAATGTTCTTTATGTACTTTGATTCTACAGCCTAAAAAAAGAAAAAAATATACATTAGTAAATTATACATAATTTATTATATTTTATGCTTAGTTGTCCAAAAGGACTAATTTTAAATTCTGTCCGATAAGTGCGATAAATGATTAAGCATTTGTTTGGTAATGTCAAAAACAAATTTTACACTAGTGTTTATATTTTTAAAAATGTATATGCTTATAAATAGTTATGATAAAATCAATAATTTATGTACATAAAAATGTAACAGATGTCAGACAGAGTTGGACTTTGTACAAATAATTTTTTATCTCAATGAAACGACAGTTTATTAGCTTTTATTTAATAACCTATTTATTATTTGATTCTAAAAGAAGTGATTTTAAACACATTAATAATTAATATTAAATCAAAATTTAAGTAATTTCAGATAAAAAATAATGTATTTAAGTTAACATTTTATTTAGAATAAATTAAGTTACTTAAGATTCACAAATAAACAGCAATTATTTTTAATTTATTATTTATGAATATTTATTTTAAATACAATTGACAATAAATACGATATCGTTTTCTATAAATAATAAATACGCAAATCATTATTGTTCATCAAGATAATAATATTTTGGTTTGAAAATAAAATATTATTTATTATCTGTCAAAAAAAAAAAATAAAAGATTTATTTGATTTAAAGTTTGCACTACATTGATGTGAGTTTGAGTTTTATGTATTCATACAGAAAATAAGTTTATAAGAATAAAACCAAACAGAAAAAGATAAATTACGCTAAAACTATTTGACTTACTTTTGCATTCCAGTGCGGGTGGAGGTCTGAACACATTAGACAGTGGTTTAGGACACACTTCACAGTTTGTTGGCATGTGGAATGATATTTGAACAAATTCGTGTCCTTTTAACGTGATAGTACCAGGTTTTTCATCGATAGTACTGGTCACGCTTGTGCTCCTGGAAAGATGTTCTGGACCGCTTTCGTTCGGTCTTCTAGCTTCACCTTCGCCGGCATACAACAACTAAAAATGCCAAGAATAATGTCACAATGTTTATGATAATTGTTACGTATAATAATTATAATTACTTGGAATATCCTAGGAATATCTTTGGCATCAGCACGAATGACGTCACCTTGTGTTACAGACCGTACATGAAATACTTTACTGAAATTCACAAAGAATAAGAGTGATTAGTAATTTAAATACAAACAGAAACCATCCATCATTTACTTTAGGTTTATTATCAAAATGGGATCGGTATTTTGTTTGTCACTTTCAGAGTTATAGAAAAATATTTTTTTCGAAGATACAACGACGTATTGTTTTTTCCAACCGTGTCGTCTAATATTCTGTTTATTAGGAACAGACAGCCAACCTTCTAATCTAGACTCTAAAATACAACAAACAATGATTATAACAACAAAACGGATAGTAACACAACAATACTAAACTTAAATGGACATAATATACTTAAAAATGGTTTTAATTAATTATTAATAAAATAACATAACTATTAATAATAAAATTATACAAGTGAAAATACACAATATTTTAGTGATGTAACTAAACCTTTTTTTTTGGGTTCAACCCGAACTTATATAACAATCTATTTTTAAAGGGACCGGCCAAAACAATGAATAAAAAACAGCAATTTCAAAAACAACGGCGTAATAATAACAAAAACAGAATTTGCTAAAAAAGTAAAAAATTTATAAAACATTAATCAAATATGTTATCTTATTTACACTTGTACAACAAGACAACCTAAATACGTAAAATATTTATTATTTTTTTGGAGATAACAATCTTCTTCTTCTTCTTCTTCGGGCAAACGGCCGCTAGGACCATCCCGTCAAACACCCCTCCTTAGTCCGCGGCTTGGTGTTTGAGTCCTGAACGTTAGTTTTTTTTACAAGGCAGAGTCGTTAGCCCTGCGCTTAACCCCCAATTTGGAGGGCCAGTCTACTCCAACCAATTAAGATCAGAGTAGAGAGAACTGGACTAGCTAATTAAAGCCAGTCCAGTTCATAGCTCGAGGCCCCGGGTTCGCCATACCCGTCACGCTAGATTAGCGATTCCTTTTGGAGACAACAATTTTGTCATTAAATGTGGCAAAAAGTAACTTAACACTATTCATAAATTAACAGTTCATTAAAAAAATTTAATACACTTGTTATCTAGTACGTTATAAATTGCTGGTAATCACCCTAAAGAGTTATTAATTAAAATGTTTTAGAATATGGCTATTGAATTATATAGATAAATAAATAAAAATAGAGTAAGTTAAATAAAAATAACTAAAATTATACAATTGGCCTAATCTAAAAAATGTTACGCAAAAAAAATTCTATTCGAGTTAATAAGTCGCCGTTATTACTTTCGCAATTGGATTTGGCGTAAATCCAATCGAGTGGTTATATTAATTTAATGTAGAGACTTTCTAAGGAGGGTATTTGATAAATAATTAATAACTAAAAATTCCCTGTGATTAATCTGTGTGAGTATCAAGTTCACTACATCACTACAATATTACTGATATCTAAATCCAGTACTGTCTCCAGTATTTGTGTCAAGTATTAATAATGAAATAAAACCTTGTGTGTATATGTCTATATCATCGTTATCTGCACTGCTTAATGACGCCGTTTCGCTACCCAGCGTAGTGAGTTTTCCTTGAAGTTGTTCAATTTCTGAATCTTTGGAATCCAACTCCATTTGAAGTCTTAATATACTAGCATTTTCCTCGACTACCTGCGACTGTAGTTCTTGGAGTTCTTTTTGCCATTTTGTAACCTCTTGGTTGTATTTTTCACGTTCCTAAAATACAACGAAATAAAATAACATACATCGTAAAACAAATAGTAACTATATTTCTGTCGTCTTGGTCGAATAACCTTCAAATAATATAAATACATATACTAAAAATAACGCATACTTGGGTAAGCTCCTGTTGTAGTTTTCTACATTCTTTCTCTTTTCTGCGCAGATCGGCTGATGACACTTTACTCTTTGTTTTGGTCGTATTGTCTTTTCTATTCATAATTTCAGCTAGTTTATTCACAGCCTGAGCTTTTAACAGTTGCTCTTGTTTCAATTGCTTACGAAGTTTTTCGAGTTCTTCACTAAAACTCTTTTTACTCTCTACAAGATTGGTACAGAATTAAAACATTAGCAGTAGATAAATATTTGACCGATTTAAAAGTGTTACCTTCTTGAATTACGCCCAATTGATTTTTTAAATCGTCGTTGTCTTTAATTAATTGTTCCATTTTTTTCTTCAATTCGTTTTCAACTTCTCTTAGCTAAAAACAAAAGTAATTTTTAATGTCTTGTCTTCTTGTCATAACAACAAAAAGGTATATAATTATATTTTCCCTCAACATGAAATTATAAACTGATATGTAATTACGTTGTTAAGAGTAAATTCTTTAGATTCCAAATCGTTACGGTGTCTGCTTTGGCTGTCCCTCAGTTCAAGTTCTCTCATTGTTTTTTCTTTTTCGAGATCAGCTATAGTTTCTTCAGCAATAGATCTCGCTAGCGCTTCGCTGTCAGCTCTAGCCAAGGCTATTTGTAGTTGATGGGCTAAGGATCCACGTTCTTCTTCTAGCTCAGCTGCGCCCTTTCCTCTATCTTCGACTTCTTCACGAAGTTCGGCCGCTTGAGTTTTATATAATGTCTGGAATACAGATATATCTCAATTAATAACGTCAATGATAACAAACTGCATGTTTTTATGTGCTATCAATACTAAACTTCCACTGGCAATAACTCTTATACTATACTATATATATTAGTGTATAGTATTACAACAGTTCAACTAAAATGAAATCACTTACCGAGAAGTATTGTTCAGCTTCCAGTTGGTCTTGTAACTCTCTCATTTGCAAGTCCACTACAGAGTGCTCAGTTTTAAGTTTATGCAATTCTTCTTCAATAGCCCGTTTGTTTTCTCTTAGCAAAGTGACTTCACGTGACAATTGTGCTTCTCTAGCTCGTAGTTGTGTTGCTTCCGATAAATGAGCTCCTAACTCACTTTGTAAAGCAGACTTTTTTGTCATTTCTTGTTCAATTTGAGCATGTAAAGCTTTACTCTGCAATTTTAAGAGCGCACAATTAAACACTTTAATCATGATTTTATATTTATTGTTATTCAATTTTTAGAATATAATTTTTTTTATTCACAGTTAAAACTCATATTTAAATGTAGATAATAGTCTCAAATTAAATAATTAAATTTTAAGTTGTTTTAAAAAAATTGTAATATGCAATATTTAGAATGAAATTAGCTTATCAAGTTAAAGAAGTCATGACTCAAGTAAATTCTCCTTTATTTAGTTATAAAGTAAACTGTATTTAAAAAAAGAGCCTATCAAATTAAAATAAGTACTCTTAGTAAATATTAGTTTTAAGAATTTCTCAGACTAAACTTGTTATGTCTGAATTTAAAATATAATGGAAAAATAGTTGAGTAAAATTAGTAAAACATATTTAATAGCTATTTTTATAACGCATTGATTTGAATAATTAGCAAAATTAATTTTTAATACCTTTTCAACTTCTTGACGATGTTCACCTTCGAGTTTCTGAAGTCTTTGTTGTATCTGACGGTAGTCAACAGACAACATTGATATTTGTCTTTCTTTTTCTTGCGTCAGGAAATCAGCCTTTTGTCGAGCACTTTTTTCCTCGCTCAATTTAGTTTGTAGTGCTAAAATAAAAAATTAAAACCATTAATTGATACCAATAAAATATTTTATTTTGTTTTTATAAGATACTTCAACACATTTACCTTTAAATATATAGTCCATTTTAACTATGCGTGAAATTAAATAGAAATGTATTTAATGTAATAGAATAAAATAATTATTTTAACTATTTTATTTATTAAACAAACATTTGTATTATTTAAAAATTTATTTTTTATCTTATTTTGTTAATTAAATTTTTTTTTATAGAACAACTAAACATTTTCGAAACTTTACCTTTTACGATTTCAAGATTAGCCTGTTCGTTGTTCACCAAACGACTTTTTTCCGTTTCTTCGTGTGCTCTTACTTCTTGCTGATACCTAGACTGGGCAGTTTTGAGTTCTAATACTAAAGAAGCACATTCTTTTTCCAGTTCGGATGTTCTTTCTCCAAGTTGTCTGTTATCTTCACTAAGTTTTTGTTCTCTGACTTTTGAACGCATGAGATCTGCTTGACAAGCTTGTAACCGTCCTAAAAACAATGTATAATTAATATGGTTATTTATTAAACTTTTTTATTTTAGTTTAAGCGGCTCATTAATGACATACCTTCAAGCTCTAACTGCAAGTCGCGTAAAGAACTTCTCTCTTGAGACAATTGACCTTGTAAAGTGGCTAATTCCTCATGCAAAGTATCACGATTAATCTGCAAAGTAGTCAGCATTGTTTGTAGCTCGGCCGCCATGCGCTCGTTGGCCGCTTTAGCCACGCCCAGTTCAGCAGCTTGTTTACGAAGCTTTGTACAGGTGTCAGTCTCTGTCTTTAACTTTTCGTGCAGTTCTAACATCTAGATTTAAACACAAAAGTACTTTTTAAATTACACAATAATACTAATTATAATTTATAACTAATAAGTTAGATTTTAATTAGATAGGTTATATGGATGAATTTTTTTATTTACAAAAGATGTATAAAAGCAAAATTGGAAATAAAAAAAAGGTTGATTTTGTTATAGCACTCATACCTGTTTTTCCAAAGAATTAATTTTGTCGTTATGTTGCTGATTATTGTTCATCTCCTTTGTTCTTTTATTTTGTTCTTCATCAAGTTTACGTTTTATTTCTTGCAATGTCGCTTCAGTCTTTCTACGCATTTCACATTCACTGTCAGCTTTTCGTTGTGCCTAAAGATTAGATTAGTTAATTGTACAGAAGCGTTTATTTGAAATATTACAACAATATGTATAGTTGTAAAATACTATAAATAACATTTAAAAGTATTTCAAATTGTATCAACTTATTTTATTTTTATTACTTACGTCTCTCAGATCTTTATGGAGATTAGCGATGGAAGTATTTAATGCCGATGACTTTTGTTTCAACATCAGTTCTCTGTTAGCACCATCTTGCAATTGTTCTAAAAGTTTACTATTCTGTTCTTTTACAACTGACAATTCTTTTCTTTCGTTATCCAATTCCCTTTTAAGTGTACCAATGTGGGTAGCTTCTTTCTGTAAGAACAAATATTAAAATTAACAATTAAACATTATAGCTGTAGTTTTTTTTTAAATTATTACTATTTGTAGTAGTTTCTCTAAAATTTATATGAAATTGATATTAAAAGTATAAAGCTTTTCAGGTAAACGAGAAAGTTAGAATATTCAACCTCTACTGAGCAACTTAAGTGAAGACAGTTATAAGCTTTAGATTTTTTTTATAATAAATAACACCTAATACCTACTTAAAACAAATTTTAATAAATTATCGTACCATATAAAAGTAATTATAAATAATAAACCAAAAAAAGATTACTTACACTACAATCCACCTTTTTATTATATTATACATAATATATGCAGCACATGGAAAAAAATAAAATGGAGAATTATGTTAGTATAAGATTAAAGCAATTAGGTAGAATAGCTAGGATCATGGATGTTGATAGTAGACGTATTTCTATACTCTTAAGCGGATACGAAAATATATATTTGTACTCCACTAACATCAACATCCAAAAATCCCAATAAGCTGAAGTAAAATATTAAAAATTGTACTTTAATAACAATGCCTACTATTGCTATAATACTATTCAATACGAATAAACAAGTACTTACAGTGTCTGGTAAACATTGACCATTAACGGTGTTGTTTCCCAATAATCTAAAATAAAATAATTAACAATCAATTTATTTGAGAGTTTCTTTAGTGTTAACAAAGTAATTCGGTTTACATACTGGTAATCTCTAGAGTAAGTGAAACCGACAAAAGGTAAATGATTTCCAGCAAAAGCCTTAGGAACTGGGAAATTTTCTTCGGGACCGTCGTCTTTTTCCACGTCGTCAAAATTACTTGTATCGTCATCGCTGTTTAATTCAGGCACAACAGGAGGTACACCTAGCAAAGGTAAAAAATTTACAATTTTAAATCGAGTTATCTTACACAAAATACTTACAATCTCTTAAATTATCAAACGTCCATTGATCGTTTTTGAAAAATGGATGTTCTTTAATTTCTCCGATTCCATTTCTCCCGAGTCGCTTTTTCCTAAAACCCATAATTAGTTAATGTAATGGTAATTTTAAAACAAAAAAGCGAGCAACAAAATACTTACCTATTAGTAAGAAAAGCGTAAATCAAAGATTTAGCATTTGAAGATATTTCAATGTCCGATGGAAAACTTAATGAGTTTTTATGGTCCATTATTTTACTATACGTTCCAACTAATGAATCGGCATAGAACGGCGTATCTCCTATCAGCATTTCGTATACAAACACGCCAACCGACCACCAGTCACATTCTCTGCCATAAATGCCGTGTTCTCCCGTTCCAGTTCCGCCTTGAGATTCTAACACTTCAGGGGAAATGTAATCCGGTGTTCCCACCGCTGTATCTGATCTTACCATACCGTCCTAGAAATATGAGAATGTTTTCTTACTTAAAAAAAAAAAATACTAAAATATGTAGTTTTAACACCGACAATTTAAACAATTTAAAGACTAATTATAACAGTTACAAAATATGGTTTTTTATAAATATTTTTTTACCGGTCCCATCCTCATGCATGTTCCGAAATCGGCCAATTTCAGATGACCGAATTTATCCAGGAGCATATTATCTGGTTTTACATCTCTGTAATAGAATTGTTTTATTATTATACGTGTACGATTTTACTTAAAATATATTACACATACCTATGTACAAATCCCATTGAGTGAATTGCGTCAAGCGCTAAAACCACTTCAGCACAATAGAATTTTGCCCACTTTTCAGGAACATCATAGTTTGACATTAAATTTACAAGATCACCGCCTAGAAAACAAATTAATTATTTATATTATTATTATACAATAGTTTATATTGAAATACCATAATAAGAGTGATTACAGAATTAAGGGAAATATTTTTTAAATTATTTTGAAGAAAAAACAAAATAGTTTTAGAAAAATTATAATGTATCAATATAAAATTATTAACCCAACAAGAACAAACTAAAAAAAAAAAAAATGATTCACACCTGGCATATAGTCCATAACCATATACAAATATTTATGATCTTGAAAAGCAAAGTGAAGTTGAACAATCCATTCGGAATTGGCATGAGCCATAATATCACGCTCTTCCCAAAAAAATGCTGAATCTGATCGTTTTATCTGAAGTTATAACACAATAACAAATAATTAGTTTAATTTCAATAGTTTAAAACAAATATTAACATTAAATCATACCATTTCAAATTTACTCAATAGTTTCATGGCATAAACTTTGTGGTTGGATTTATGTCGCACCTGAAATATTGTTTTGTTCATAAGTACATAATCATATTTTCATTTTAGTAGTAGTAACTCAGTTTTTAAGAATTATACATATACATTTAACATAATGTGTATTAAGACATTAAATATGTTCAGTAAATTACTGAAACCTTTCATTGGTTATTTTAATATTTTACCATTGGATTGAAGAACCAAAAGAAAGTAAATATATTCTACTTTATTTGTTAACAATTTCAGCAAATAATGTGAAAGAGTCGTGTTTACTATTGTCTTATTTGTTTATTTATTAACAATCATCAAAATATAGGTAATTTAGTTATTTAAATATTTACTTACCAGTTGGACTTCACCAAACGCTCCTCGTCCAATAACTTTAATGAGATTGAAATCATCAGGTTTCATACGTAATTGACATATGTCAGATGCGAATTGATCATCTAAAGACAAGTTTAATTATTTATAAAAATCAATTAAATACATTTATATGCATTTTTAATTTAATTATTGACCTATCACATAAAAATAATGATGTGTAAAAAAATATTATATATATTTTTTTATAATCTATAATAATTTGAATAAACTATAATTTGACATTTATTTAGATTTTATAAACATTACTTACATCTATGCATAAAAGCTTCAACATTTTTCATACGTTTGACAGCAGGATTTTCACAATCTGCTACTAATGCTTGCACAGTGTCCTAAAACAAACAATAACATTTATAATTAAAAAATAGTCCATGTTGCTTTTAATAAGATTTCATTTATTTTCTAAAAATATTATCAATTTTATAACTTAATATTTTTTTAATCAAAAACAGAATTACAAATGATTATTATTTATTAGTTATAAATGTTATTACTATGAATATTTTGTATGCGAGATAACTTCCTAATCTAACCTACACAAGAACACATGTTAACATATAGGTATTACTCGTTGTTTATAAAATGAAAAAACATTTAAACTGAAATAAATTCTTTGTAAGGTGGTCAGAAAATTAATAATGGTTATTAAATGACTTATAATAGTTCAGTAACACTTAAATTGAGGAAAACAGTGTAGAATAAAAGCAATATTGGCGCTTGAATATGCTTTTTGCAAATGTGTAATATAAACACTGATGGTAATGAAAAAAACAAAATATATCCATCAAAGAATTGGCGAGAGTTCAACCGTTTACGTTTACGCCTAATCACTCAACTATAATCCAAATACGTACAAATTAGTGCTTTTACAGTGCCTGCTAAAAACAATGTTACTACTATTGACAGACCATTAATAAATATTATTAAACGTTTTTGATGATAATCAGTAAAACTTTTAAAATATTGGACATGATTTGAAAATATTTTATGTTATATTAATTATAAAAATGTGCAAAAATTCATTTATTAGTGATCATTGTAATTTATAGTAAACTCAATTAATGAAATCAATAATCTAATTTTTTTTTATATCAATTGAATAATAATTAAAGCTAAGAAATATATTTGTTTTAAAAAACTATTAATGCAATATAATTGGATTTTTCTTTGAACTATTATTGATAGTTTCCTTACCAAAGTTTATATTCTGGAAATATAAACTGGGAAAAGTAGAAAAACAAAATAATAGCTGGGTTTTATATAAACTATTTTGTTTAAATATTCCAATAAAAACTATACTAATAGAATGTATCTAATTAGTTAAATAAAATAATGAGTACAAAATGTTGGCTACAAATATAAACATATACTAGGTAGTAAAAAAAATCAAATACATGAGAATTTAATGACAAACAATTACAAGTAAATTTTACATAAACACATTGAAACTTTATTTACACTATTATGTATCTTGGAATAAACAAATGTTGTTTTAGAAGAAGTTTGAAATTATAATATTCATACAGAATTTAATCACAAAATGATAATGTTTTATTATTTTTATTTTATACCAATGCATTTAAATAATGTTACTGAACACATCTATTTCCTGGCCACACCCAGGCGTATTTAACGCTCAAGTTTGTTAAACATGTTCTTTCAGCTGTACTTAAGCATATAAATATCTTACCAATAAAGAGTCTACGTTGGACACGCTTCTTGGATCTTTGATCTTCTTCTCGAGAAGTAGCAATCTCCTCTTTCTATCGTCTTCTTTGAGGGCGTCCATTTCTCTCATTCCTAAACAAATAACAATACAAGTCGCATTGTAAATAAATTTACTCCCGAAGAAATACTTTGAACATACACACACACACAAGGGAGTCGGCGTAACTTTGATTTTTCAACGCGCTCCAAGCGCCGTTTTGTTAACGTACGCACTTGTCAAAAAACCAAAAGCACCGATCGTTCGTACCAGGTACATGCAAAACCTACCTTCAAGTACTGTGCACGTAACTGTTCGGACGACAGGAACAAAAGTGTCGCTGGCAATTCGACGGACTCAGTGTCCAAAGTCAGCTGTGCGGAACGTACCCACTGCGTAGCGCATAACGTTGGTTTAGCGGACACGGTCGGAATTCTGCGGACACCATATATGGCATATCCGTCGTCGTTAGCGGTCGATCAACAAACACACAGGCTGCGACACGCAGACGGACCGCACGGGATGGACATGACGGCGATTCGGCGAGCACAGCAAAACAACGGTCGAGCGACAAGTATATATTATTGTAATATTGACAATATAATATTACTGTAACAAATAACGACGACGGTTGTGGCGGTCGAGTGCAAGACAACAGCTTACAACGTACAACCGTCGGGGGTAACTCGGAGTGCGTAAACGCGTCGGACCGAACGCGATAAGGATAAAACAAAATAATATAATTCCTATAAAATAAAATGGGTGATAAATAAAATTACGGTAAAAAAAAAAATCAACCGAACAGCCGTCGAAGGGTCTGGGAAGTGGTCGTCGAGAGCTGCTGAGTTCTGCTGCTGTGCGAAAAGTGAAAAGCGGCGTGATAACGAGACACCAAGACGTGATAACGTTATACGCGTTACCCCAATCGGAACATACACATATTATGTATACATATATACTGTGTGTGTGTATATGTATTACCGATATTGTTTTGAACCATTAGCGGTCACGATAATAATGGTAAAAAAAAAAAAAATTAAATTAAAAAAAAACTCGGCAGGGCGAGACGGGCCGCGGACGACGTCTTGTGTGCAGCAATATTGTTGTACCGCGATGACGGTGCGGGGCGACGGCCCAAGATGATGATAAGCCGAACGGCCGCCGAACTTCGGTACCGAACAACGTCCACAGATGGCGTCACGCAATCGTTTTTCACCATCGACGACGGACAATATAATAATATTATTATTATTCACCTGCAACAATAATAATAATAATAATAACGAAAATTGTACTAATAATATTATTGTTGTTAGGAGGACGTATACGGCATTGAGCGGTCGGCACGATCGAAGATGATTTAGGGCACGATTTCCGGACGTGGCGTTTTAACGCGTTTATGCCGGCTATATGTTTGTGTTGAATTCTCAATGTTGTAAGCTGTTGTGCAAAATAATTTTAGAAAGTCTATTATAATAATATATAAGATAGTACCTACTATTGAAATAGTCGAATGCATCACCCGAGTACAAACAAAATAAGCCATCCAAAAATGTGTTTTGTTTAAATTCTCAGATTGATTGATGATTTCACTGTTGATTCAAACACACATATGGAAATTTATGAACAGGACGAATGTGATATTTTCCTATTGTTTTTTTAAAGAGCAGTTAAAAGTCTTTGGCAAATATCCAGGGATTCAAATTTAAAGGATATTTTTAAAACTTTTTATCCTTAAAAGTTTTTTTTTTTTTGTTACACGTTTTAAGAAACCAACATTTTTTAATGAAAACACAGTTAAACATAAGTAGCCAATGACCTCGAATCTGATTCAAAATCGGACCATTCTGTGTAGTCGAAATTATGTCTGGCTTTTTTGTCTAAAATAAACCAAAATGGTTTTAACACATAGAACAAATTGTTTCAATTAAAAATAATACCTTAAAGCTTGTCCAAATTAGCCGGCAAAATTAATTGACACGTCGAAATTTATTAAACATATTTTTTATTAAATATTGCCTATACAAAACTCCTTAAAAACAGACCGCATGCAATCCCCTTAACCTTCAAGTTAAGATTTTATAATAAATTGCCTATACTTTACTCTTTAAAAATGGGCAAAGTGATGTCCTCTTATGGAGCAAAATACGGTTTCCTGGAAAATATCCAGGGATTCCAATTTATAGATATTTTAAAAGCTTTTTTTCTCAACGTTTTTTTTTTATTACACAATTTAAAAACCGTGTTTTAATAATTATAGAATGTTTACATAACTAAGTGTATTTGATTTTAATTAACAACACAATAAAACGTTTTTAAAATGTCTATTTTTCACTTGGAATGAACTGCTATACTATATACTTCTTAGTTCTTACCTAAAACATATTATACTGTTTTGGCAGACTAGTTGATCTTCGAAAATCCACTGATAATATTTTTCACGGTTCTTATACTAATATACGTTTGTAATTATACTGATCCTAATAATTATAAAATTTGTTTTTGATTTTGTCACTCAGTCTAACTCTCAAAATGTATGAAATATATATACATCAAATATCAAGTAGTTTATTTTTGTAAATTAAATTAGTTCTATAATATTACTTTTGTCGACGAATCCGCATGTAGTCTTATATTTTATTTAGTATTTTAAGTTTTTTTTTTTAAAGGGCCTTTCAATGTTTTAATATAGTTTTTGGCATCTTATTCGGGTCGTGTATTTAAAAAAAAATTGGTTTATGTTTTTTGTTAGTATATCTTAGGTTTTTTTTTAATTCTAGTTAAATTATAACTAATTTTTTTAAAAATTACTAGTTTTTTATTAAAGTAGAAAATTTTGATGCTAAAACTGTAAACAATTTTCTTGAGATTTTATGGTATGTAATTGTAATTTGAATTTTTTGAGACTAAAATAAAAAACAAATATAAATCTTCATTAAATTTTTACATTAAAACCATTTAAATACCACATTCATGTAGTGGGGCATAATAATATTAATAATAATCAATGTTTATTAATTTAATCCGTGAAATTTTGTTTTTTAATTAGCTATATGCTTTATATCATACCGTAACCTTTGTCCTTTATACATCCTTAGACCTTATAACAATCATCATAAATCCCAAAACTCATCCATAGAATCTTTATTATCTAATTAATTTGGTAATGTTGAATGTCGATTTGTAAAGATTGAATTTGAAGTACAAAAAAAATTATTTTTTATCAAGAAAATAGGTAGAATTTTGTAACACTGCTTGCGTTGTGTCGAAACACCGATTCATCAACACCATTCATAGAACAGAAGCCTATAAATTGTATGATGCCATTAATTTACACCAAACCACGCTTTAGATAAAGAGTTTTACTTTGTTTGCTAACTTAATACATTACTGAAGGAGCTAGGTTATTTGAAAAAAATTCAACACCCAAAATGCAACGAAAATTACAAGTTTATTAAAAAAAAAAACAATTGGTGTGAGTATGTTTGTGTAAAAAATCTATTATAATAAGCATCTGGGTCATTGAGCATCATCCGAAGTCGAAAGATGGTACATAGAAACACGAGAAACCAATAACAAGTTAAAAAAAAAATTATTGCGATAAGGTTCTTCATGGTCGCTTCTTCTTGGTCTGTGGTCAACGATCCGTCACTCTTCTTTGTCGGCGAAGCTGTCGTCTTGTTCTTCTTTCGCAATTATGAATGAATTAGGGATTTTTCTGAGCTTTGCATAAAATATATTTGATTTTAAAATTTTTATAATGTAAAATTATGAAGACTCTGTGTAGTTTACAATACAAAAGTGTAGTTACGTTAACCTAATGGTAATGATGAAAAACGTTGCCAAAAATCATTACCATTCACAACAGTCGCCTTAATTTAAGTTAATTTATGCACGCTCATTGAGTGGGATTTGTGTCGGTTTACATTAAGTTTATCGATGAAAGGACTTGCAGAAAACGCTCAGATATCGAACAAAAAAATGACCCAGAGTAGTTTACGCGACAAATGTATACAATACAAACATAACATAAGCTGTTATAGGTTACCTACAACGTTGACCATAGAAAAACACTTAATGTCGCTTGACTTGCACGTTAGCACTCATTCATATACGACGTTCAGTGGCTAGAAAAAACAAAAAACGCTTTAACACTTATTGTATAATATATTTTAAACCTGTGTGCCCCATCGGCCTTCCTTTCTCCTAAAGGGTTACCCCCATGGCATATGGAGTTGTTAAAAGGGTTTAAGGGCACTCGATATAGGTCATCGAACTAGTGTAACTACCGATAAACATAGCGAAGAACCAAAAAATTGTATTATTTAATTAACCTTTACAAGTAGTTGAAACGTTCTTAACCGTAGTCTGAAAATTACACTGAATTAGATCAAACGTCACATATAATTTTTTATTTTATTAAGGAAAATTCTTAAAACCGAAAACATACGAATTACAAACACCCTACAGGATGATCAATTTCAGGTCAAAGATCAATTTAATGTTAAATTTAGGAAAGTGATAGTAATTTTTAATTTTTACAATGTTTTAAATTTTTTAAACAGTTCTGTCAACATTTTTGGTAGCGTGTTACCAATTTTTAAAGTTAACGATACACGTGCAGATTGTAAAGTAACAAACAAAATTTGTAGCAATGCTTATTTAACGGAAAACCGCAAAAAAATAAAAATGCACGATGAAACACATACATATTGTATATAACATGAATTATAGATATTTATAGTTAGTTTTTTACCGGCGGAGGTGTAGGACTGTCATCGAATCGCTTTTATCACTTTCAGTTATAACAACTCGAATATAATAACGGATTGGTCGTGATGAGATTATTACAATCAATGTCGGTGTTGGTAGCCAAAGAACTCGAATCTCTTTAAAGAATTTGAAATCGCGTCGAAATGTACTTTTTGAGTAGTCTTCGGTTGTCGATGAGATACTTTCAGAGTTCTCCAGCAAACCTAGAACAGTGGTACATTATAAATTAGTTAAATAAAATACCGCGAAATGACTTCCAGTGTCCAGCGTGTAATATATCAAGGTTATATTGCTATGAAAAAATAATTAATGGCTTAAGAGAGGGTTTTTTTTATCGCAGGGATAACAATTTTCAATAGTTACATAAAAAAAATTATAAATTATGCCATCGTATTATAAGTGTATGATCACAGTGAATAAAGAAAACGTTTCCATCCATCCATTGAGAAATGCTAATTTTTAGTTTTTACTGAATATCAGTGCTATTTCAAAAAATATCCTAAGCAAATTTGGAACAACTTTTATTTAATTAGAAATATTTTTAGTGTTTGTGTTATACACCTAAATTTTTTTAATCTAAATGAGTAAGTAACAAAAACAGGAAAAATTGAATTTTAAATCAATTTAAAAAAAAGTTTAATGTCTACAGGTAATATTGTTTTCTACGTTTATTTACAGCTATTAAGTGGCATACTATTATGGCCATTTTAAATTACATAGTACAAATGGAATTTTTTGAAATCCAAATGGCATGCATTTCCTTAATAATAATTTTCGTACAACACGTACTTGAACATTATGTTAAACTTTTAAAATAAGTACCTAACTAAAATAGTAAAAATGTTACAATTTCAAACATATATTTATCTAGAGGTGAAATAAAAAATATGTTATGGCAAGAAATGACCGGTCGAATTATTAGCAATTATAACTACAAGATAATTTTATAAGAATTTTATACCTTACCTAAAATCTACGACATTTCTGTACAGGTCTTCCAATCCGAAGCTCGTGGTAGATTTACTTGGTACTACACGGGCGCTGAAAAATAGAGCTGAATATGCGATTAATATTTAACCAAATTAATATTTATTCGGTACAATGTTGTTAACCCATTTTTTTTTATTATTGTAATAACTGATAACAGATAACTGGTAACTGGTAACTGATAACTAATAACTGGTAACATCTGAAAAGTTTTTTAGCATTTATTATCTATTCGATGGTAAAAAACCAAACCTGAAAACATTATTAAGTATTTTAGTATTTTAGTATTAGGTATTTTGTGTTATTTTCACCAACTAAAAATTTGAGCTAGATCATTTTTACATAAGCATGTGAGCAGTAACCATGCAGGGCCATTTAAAAGGGTTTCCTATAGTTTTAAGACCAATCCCGTACGTGTATGTGTAACTTTGTAATAACAAAGTTAAGGGTGTTTGGGTTTCCGTGAGTCTGCACTCACTCTCAAAGTCAATAGGTTATACCATTTGATGATTCGAGATTGAATATAACCTAGGCCAGTTTTCCCTATTTATGAAATATTAATTTTATGTAAGATAATTAACCATTCGAACTATTCGGTCGAATTATTAACAATTATTACTACAAGATATTTTTATAAGAAATTTATACCTTACCTGATACCTACTACATTTCTGTACAGATCTTCCAATCCGAAGCTCGTGGTAGATTTACTTAGTACTACACAGGCGCTGAAATATAGAGCTGAATATTCGATTACTATGTAACCAGATTAATATTTATTCGATACAATGTCGTTTACCCGACATTTTTTATTATTATTGTGATAACTGATGACTTCTGAAAAGTTTTTTAGCATTTATTATCTATTCGATGGTAAAAAACCAAACCTGATAACATTATTAGTATCAGGTATTTTGTGTTATTTTCACCAACTAAAAATTTGAGCTAGATCATTTTTACATAAGCATGTGAGCAGTAACCATGCAGGGCCATTTGAAAGGGTTTCCTATAGTTTTAAGACCAATCCCGTACGTGTATGTGTAACTTTGTAATAACAAAGTTAAGGGTGTTTGGGTTTCCGTGAGTCTGCACTCACTCTCAAAGTCAATAGGTTATACCATTTGATGATTCGAGATTGAATATAACCTAGGCCAGTTTTCCCTATTTATGAAATATTAATTTTATGTAAGATAATTAACCATTCGAACTATTCGGTCGAATTATTAACAATTATTACTACAAGATATTTTTATAAGAAATTTATACCTTACCTGATACCTACTACATTTCTGTACAGATCTTCCAATCCGAAGCTCGTGGTAGATTTACTTGGTACTACACAGGCGCTGAAATATAGAGCTGAATATTCGATTACTATGTAACCAGACTAATATTTATTCAGTACAATGTCGTTTACCCGACATTTTTTATTATTATTGTAATAACTGATAACAGATAACTGGTAACTGATAACTAATAACTGGTAACATCTGAAAAGTTTTTTAGCATTTATTATCTATTCGATGGTAAAAAACCAAACCTGAAAACATTATTAGTATCAGGTATTTTGTGTTATTTTCACCAACTAAAAATTTGAGCTAGATCATTTTATCATAAGCATGTGAGCAGTAACCATGCAGGGCCATTTGAAAGGGTTTCCTATAGTTTTAAGACCAATCCCGTACGTGTATGTGTAACTTTGTAATAACAAAGTTAAGGGTGTTTGGGTTTCCGTGAGTCTGCACTCTCTTTCAAAGTCAATAGGTTATACCATTTGATGATTCGAGATTGAATATAACCTAGGCCAGTTTTCCCTGTTTGTGAAATATTAATTTTATGTAAGATAATTAACGATTCGAACCATTCGGTCGAATTATTAACTTTATTACTACAAAATATTTTTAAAAGAATTTTATACCTTACCTACTATATTTCTGTACAGGTCTTCCAATCCGAAGCTCGTGGTAGATTTACTACACAGGCGCTGAAAAATAGAGCTGAACACGCGATTTATATTTATTCAGTACAATGTTGTTTACCCGACATTTTTTTTTTACTATCGTGATAACTGATAACTGATAACATCCGAATTGTTGAGTGCAGGTACAGCGATTATATTATTCACTACAATGAACACGCACATAGTTTTTGTAAAGTAGCGATACGCGGTCTTGGGCGGCTTTTTAAACAAGTATGTTTTGGCCAATATCATTAATATCAATACATACAAGTGTTTCAAAAGCTATAATTTTTTCGCACTTGTCTTTTGATAAACAAACAAATCACTTACATAATATTATCCGTCAGTATGGGCATAAATAAATAAGTGTCCTTATCCATACTTTTGGATTTATATTATATTTATATATATATATATATATTATAGATACATGTTATTTTGTATACCTAACCTAACTTAAAGGATTTTTTGGAACTTAGTATATTATATTCATACTACGGGTAGTCTTTTTTTTAAAATACAATGTTCCACCCGAGTAGAGTAAAATATACTATCGGTATACATTGGTGCTTAAGGGATAAAATTAGTTTAATGACACAAAACAATAAAATAAAATAAGAGCAAGTCGACGCTAAAAAAAAACCTGAAAACATTAATAGTATTAGTTATTTTGTGTTAATTTCTAAATACATCGCAGGCAGCAATTTGTACCAACAAGCAATTCAACACATACAAATTTAAACTAGATGACTTTTACATAAGCATGCGCACGGTAACTTTGCAAGGCTATTTGAAAGGGTTTCCCATAGTCTTAAGGTCAACACAATACATATGGTTATGTAATTTTATACTGTGTTACACCAAAGTTAAGGTTGTTTGGGTTTCCGTGAGTTTGCACTCACTCTCAAAGTCAATATGTTATGCTAGGTTTTGAGATTGAATATAACATTGACCAGTTTTCTCTATTTATGAAATATTAATTTTATGTATGATAGTTAACGATTCGAACCACTGTGCAACGGCGATTCCAGCAGACGTGAAACGGCTCCGGCGATGAAGTCATACGATATCCATATTCAATCCAAAGTCCATTGACTCCTTTTCCGTTTCTTCAGTTTCTGATGCAGAGGAATTCAAATAAATCATTCTCCATTTCTGCAGTTAGAAACGATATAATGTTGAAATGACGCTAGAAGTGAAAGGATATCTTTGATCTGAAAAATGGGTATATAACAAAGAGCTTAGGGTTAGGTTAAAAAATGGACAATATTTTACAGGGGAGAGGGGGTTAGATGTTTTTGCGCAAAGCAAATGTGATCATAAAAATATATATGATTAAAAATAAGAAAATATATAAAGATAGATGAGCGTAAAGATACTGATCTAAAAAAATTAACGGTAATGGCGACATCGATAATAAAGAATAGAAAGATTGGTATGAACCAAAAAGTAGTGTTTTTTTTTATTAATGATGATGCAAGGGTATGTGGTACAAGCAAAAAAGGGTCACTCTTGTTTGTCGGAAGCTATCGCCCTGTTTTCTGAACTATGCATATATATATATATATATATATATTTGATTTTAAAAATTTTGGTTATGTAAAATTATTAAGACCCTGTATAATTTCAATACAAGTGTGGTTACGATAACCTAATGGTGATTATGAAAAACGCGACCGAAAATCATTAACCATTCACAACAGTAGCCTTAAAATTAGTTAATTCATGCATGCTCAATGTGTAAGATTTTTACCATAGAAAAACGCTTAATGTCGCTTGACTTGCCCGTTTGCACTCATTTATACGTTCAGTGGATAGAAACAACAAATAATGGTTTAAAACTTATTGTATAATTTACCATAAACCCGTATGCCCCACCTGCCTACCTTTATCCTAAAGGGTTACCCGGTGGCATATGGAGTTAGTAAAAATATTAAGTTTATCTAGCTATAATAATTTTAAAGTTATTTTTCTCTTACTTATAAGGAAAGTCTGGTCAAAAAAGACTTTCGTAGTAGTTTTTGGACGTATTTAGTATACTGGGCGGTTTTTTAATTTTTTTTTTTGGAAGCTAAAATGCTGATTTTTCATTTAGAAATTAGAAAATTAGTCAGATTTTTCAGGAAAAGTTTTTTGGCCGCTTTACAAGATTAAGAATCAGATTTTTGATTTTTCGCATTTTTGTGAAAAAAATAGGTTTAAATATCGGAAATATAAAATAAAACTGATATTTTTTAATGAAAATCGGCTTCCTACATAACATATTAAAAGAGCCAAAGAATTAGAAACTCTTTACAGAAATGAAATTGGACAAATCTTATGTAGTTAACATTTTGTCTTGTTTTTTGGTCTAAAATTATTTAAAATGGCTTTTAAAAAATTATTAAAATTAAAAATAATACCTTTTAGCTTAACGGTACAATTAACTAGTAAAATAATTGACATGATCAAAACCATATTACAACATTTTTCTTAAATATTGCCAATACAAAACTCCTTAAAAACAGACCGCATGCAATCCCCCTAAACGAGCGCAAACAAGGGGAGTTTTCATCAACAAACATGTATTCATATTGCCTACACCGAGCGCCGTGTATATATCCACGTCGTAGTTGATTGAGCACACATTATAATTTCAATTAAATAAGATATTTTAATCTAATAAAGTATGTTTTACCGATTTTGTTTGATCGTTCTGGGTGGTCCATGATGTAGCATTCAACAGGTGATAAGTAAACAAATAACAGATATATATTATTAAAATATGATTAATTAATTTATCATGCAGGCTATAACGGCATGTTTTAAACGTTATAAGTGTAGAAAAAACTGTTAAGCAAACTTATGGTTAAATATATAGTAAAGATATAAAATCTACTTGAACCCTAAACCATAAGAATTGTACACTTCTTGCGTACACGTGTTACGACAACGATGTTGTCATCTTCAGCGCTAACAACAGACTGAGACCGATTACGGGCGAACACCTCCCTCTATACATATATACAAGGTCATTATACCGAAAATGACGACTCATTTGTCAACACATTTTTTAAATTCTAATAAAATGTATTGTAATGGACTTAAGTCCCAGTTTAACAAATTTGTCCTATTTTTTAACATTTCTATTGCTTCCCTAATATTAAGTGTAGTATGTACCATGGGTTACCATATTAAGATTTATGATTTTTCAAGATTGCGTTAACCTAACAGCGGTTTACACATAGACAACCTAATGAGGTAATCTCAGAAAGATAGTTGTGGGTGGCCAGTTTTTCTGGAGGTTGAGGAATTGAATGGCCGACCCGGAATGATTGGAAGTGAGTGATGAAAATGGCAAAAAAAAAATGTGTGAACGATTGACGTTCAACACGATTCGATGGTGAGATACTTACGGAGTTCTCCAGCAAACAACAAACCTAGAACAGTGGTAACATTATAAATTAGATCAATAATAGACCGCGAAATGACTAATGTCATAGAAATAGCGTTTGGCTTGTAATGTAACAAAGTTATATTTTTATGAAAAAACATTTTTTTTCGTCAACAAATTTCAAGTAACAAAAAAAAAAATTGTAAATAATGTTTTCGTATTATAAGTCTATGATTAGTTCCGCGCGAACAGTCCGCTAGTGCGTACGCATTTTACTCCGCTCTCGAGTTATGTTCAATTCTATGGCTCTACCCCACACGGAAAAAATCTGCATTTCACACCAGATGACGAGTGTTGTGCTCTACACTTAACTAGCCTTGCTGAGACTTAATTTTCATAAGTTCGCACCAAGTAATATTGCTAATATTATTATACATCATTTTCGCGTGTCTGCTATACACTCATTACAAACGTGAGGCACCGACGCTCCGCTGCGTGTGGTGACCTTTGGACTTTAGATAACACACAGCGACATGGCTACCACCTCTGACGGTCCCGTATCGCCTATTAAAATTGTACGAAACCAGATAGTCAACAACAAAAAAAAATAAAAACCCAACTAATGACAATAAACGTCCATTATCATCTTCCTCCTCCCCACCGCAATCACCACTTACTAACAACATAAAGAAATCAAAGTTATTTGTAACTTCAAACCGCTATTCTGTTCTCTCTACTGAAGAACCCCACGTTGACGATAACATATTTAATGATACTAATCAGGAGCAGCCGGATTCCAACAATAATGCACCGAAAAGCATGCTACCTCCACCTATTTTTATCAAAGGCGTTCTTGACTTCATAGGCTTGCGAAAAAGTTTTTTGGAGATCATTGGCCCAGACACTTTTTCTTGTAAATCAACAACGAATCAACTCAAAATACAGACAGATACCCCAGATAATTATAGGAAAATAATACATTTCCTAAAAGAAATTGACGCCCAATATCACACTTATCAGTTAATATCAGACAAATCTTTAAGAGTTGTTATTAGAAACTTACATCCATCCACCCCAGAAACATATATTGCCTCAGCACTAGAAGAAATAGGCCACACTGTCAAAAATGTCACCAACATCAAACATCAGCTTACAAAAACACCGTTGCCCCTCTTTTTTGTGGATATTGACCCTAAAGGTAGTGACAGTAACATATTTGATATTTCCTCCCTTCTACATACAAAGGTTAAAATTGAGGAACCCTATAAGAGACGACAGATACCACAATGTCAGAACTGTCAAGCCTATGGCCACACCCGTTCCTACTGTGCACACCAACCAAAATGTGTCAAATGTGGGGCCAACCACCCCTCCCCCTCTTGTAAAAAATCACCAGACCTACCAGCTAAGTGTGCCCTCTGTGAAGGACCACATCCAGCTAACTATAAAGGATGTCAAATATACAAGCAACTAAGCCGCAAACATAACACTTCAAGCAAAAAACCTCAACAACCACCGCCACTCAACCCAAACTCCAACCCAGAACACCGCCATCTACAATCAACCACCGAAAACTCGCAAAAACCACGTTCGTATGCAAATGTAACTGGGAGTAACCAACCCAACCTAAATCCTACACCAACAAACAACAACGAAATATCACTCCTCAAATTTCTTGATGAGTTTAAGTCAATTATTAATCCTCTAATATCCCTCCTCACTACAGTTCTTTCAACCCTCATTAAGCCCAATAATGTCAACTAACCTTACCACTTCAAAATCGCTTCTCATCCTAACTTGGAATTCCAACGGCCTAACAAAACACAAAAACGAACTACTAGCTACACTACAAAACAATAGAATTGACATCGCACTTATCTCAGAAACCCATTTTACAAATTCCTCAAATTTCAATCTACCTGGCTTTCAAGTCTTTAAAACTAACCACCCGGATGGCACAGCACATGCCGGAGCCGCCATCATAGTTAGGTCCTCACTAGTGTTCTATCCCCTACCACAATATCAAACAGATCATATACAAGCTTCTGGTATATCCCTTACACTAAACAATATCCCCATACATATCTACGCAGTATTCTGTCCCCCTCGACATACCATCACTTTAAATCAATTTAATAACTTTTTCCTTACACTTGGTCAAAAATTCATCATAGGAGGTGACATTAACGCAAAGAACACACATTGGGGCTGTCGTGCGAATAACCCTCGTGGAAACACTCTTAAATTCCTAACCCAATCACAAAACTATAAAATTCATTCTCCTCCCTCTCCAACCTACTGGCCTACTTCACCCAGAAAAAAACCAGATATTCTCGACTTTTTCATATCTAAAATCCCAAATAGTCTACATACCTTGACATCCAACCTAAATGACCTGTGCTCTGATCACTCATCTGTCCTTTTAACAATTGATACTGCTCCCTTAAATAAACTAAAACAACCTAGTCTTATTCAAGGCCGGATGGACTGGGATAAATTCAGGTTAACGCTACAAAATCAAACCAATCTTAAACTTAGCCTAAAATCTCCTGATGAGATAGATGAAGCTGTACATCTCCTCACCAAATAAATTCAAGAAACAGCTTGGTCATGTTCCACTCCTTACCCTCCTACAATACACACTGAAAATCTTCCTTTACATATAAGAGTCCTTATCTGTGAAAAAAGAAGAGCCCGCGCTACCTGGCAAAGAACTAAATACCCCTCTGATAAACGGAAATTTAACAATCTATCTAATAAACTTAAAAGGATTCTAGCCTCAGTTAGATCTAAAAACTTCACCAGACATCTTATTTCCTTATCATCCAATGATAACTCACT